TGGGGTCTCGCTCTTGCTCAGGCTGGTCTCAAACTCCTGAGCTCCAACAATCCGCCCACCTCGGCCTCCCAGAGTGCTAGGATTACAAGCATGAGCCACCGCACCCGGCTTATATCTTTATTTGTATTTGTATATATTTATAATATTTGATTACATATTTATAAGCTATGTCTCTGTTCACAGCTTTGATTATTTTCCTAAGATTGCTGGGTCAAAAGGCCTTCACATTATAGATTTTGAAACATTTTGCCATATAGCCAATAACAGCGTGATGGTCAGTTTTAGGTGTCAACTTGAGTAGGCTATAGTACCCAGTTCTTCAGTCAAACACTAGGTGTTTTGGGGAAAGTATTTGTGATCAACATTTACAATCAGTCGACTCTAGGTAAAGGAGATTATCCTGGGCAATCTGAGTGGGCCTGATCCAATCAGTTGAAAGGCCTTAAGACCAGAACTGAGGTTTCACTAAGAAGAAATTCTGCCTGTGGACTGCAGTGTTAACTCCTATCCAAGAGCTACCATTCTGCCCTACTACTGGCCTGCCCTACATATTTTGGACTTGCTTAGATAGTCTCTACAATCACATAAGCCAATTGCTTGCAATAAATTTCTTACCCTCTGTACCCTGCCTGATACACCCAGTAATACTCCTGCAGCAAAGCATGAGACTGCCATTGGTAATTTGCACAGTAATATGAATAGTTTCAGATGTTTACTGAGAAGCAAATTTTGATAGAAAGTACAATTCTAAAGATTCCCTAGCAGAAATGGTTTAGCATAATCTTTGTGTGTTTGTGTTTATGGCGCCGGGAGAAGAGAAAAGAGATAAACATTGTCAACTTAAGCCAAATCATTCCAGTTTATTTTGCAATCACGCCTAGGGGTTTAGTATGTTACTACTAATAAAAGCCATCTTTTGTCAAATGTCTCTACTTTCAGCCCATGGACCAGGCTCTTTAATAAACATTGTGTGGAATTTCTCTACAGTCCAGTACGCACAGAGCAATCAAAGTGACGTTTTAAAATGTAAATCAGATCATATTATTCTCTGGGCTTAAAACTTTCCAAAAGCTTGCCATTGCACTTAAAATTCAAACTTCTGATCTTGGCCTATATGATTCTAACCTGCCTACTGTTAGATTTAAAGAATTCACCCTTCCCAAACTTCCATCCAAACCTCCCATAGAACCCACCCCTCTCCCCTTCCTAGGGGTGTAGTAGGCACACAGCCTCAGCTAGACCCCGAGGGAGTTACAGGATTGAAATACAAAAGGGGAATTTACTTTCCTTTTCCTTCTTGATAAGGACTAAGCTTATCCCTCCAGGTTGTTCCCTAGGAAGACAAAAGAATGGAATGCAAGAGGGGAACTTACTTTCCTTTTCCCTCCAGGTTGTTTGAAAAGTATTTACTCCTCCCAGAAAAACCCTCTATAAAACCCAAGGCTCCCCCGCCCCGCCCTTTTCTCTCCAGGGCACCTTTTTAGGCCTCCACCCATTTGCACCCTGATGCTCAAAATAAACAGCATTTTGCTACACAGGAGGCTTTGTGTGTGTCTCTGTCGGCTGGGACCTAACACCTACCTCTCTAAATTTATTTCCTCCATTCTCTTTTTCTCTCCCTACACTCCAGCCACACTGGTCTTTTTTTTCATCACCTCTTGTCTCACAGCCCCAACCCTAACCTCACCACACTTCTAGCTGTCCCTACCTGAGGCAGCCATTGGAAGCTAGCTACTGCCTAAGCTGGGCAGAGCTTTGGAAACTTTGAAGGGAGAAGGGAGGGGGAAAAACTGGAGGGTGGAACGGAAAACCACTCTTCTGGTAGCAGTCCCTGCCCGCAACAAGCCTTGCCTTTTGCCCTTAAGGAAAATGGCTCCGGGCATAGATGCGCTTCCGGCCACGGAGCCAAACAAAATAGGGGAGACAGAAGACCGGAAGTGACCGCCTTTTGCCACGCCCCCCGCCTCCTCTTTGCTTCTAACCTCTCTCGGGAGGATGAGGCAGTCTGGGAGCGGTGGCCGAGCTGCGGTTGTTGTTTGACAGGTCGGAGCTGAGACAGTGTGAGTGTCCGCCGCCTTGACTGCCAGTTCGTTCGGGGTGACCTTCGAGCGGCTACGGACAGGGGGCGGATAGTCGTGCGCGGAGCGCTCTGTGACGAGGCGCCGCCGCCGCCCTTTGGAGGAGTGAGTGAACTGAGTGGCGAGCGGGGCCGGCCGCCGGGTCAAACCCGCGGAGCCCACGAGGCCAAGTACGGGGGGTGGGGAGGTCCGGCCCGGAGCCGGCGCACGCGGGGCAGTGGTGAGTTCAGGCCCCGAACCGTGCGGGTGGGGCTCCGGCGGCCGAATGGAAGGCGTGGAAGGCCTTTCCTCAAGGTAGGTGTTCACACCAGCTGAATCGGGTCGTTGCCCTCACCCTGCTTTTCCCACGCAGCTCCTTCGCGCAGTCACTTCTTGACCCTCTGGAAGGATCCACCTTCTTCATGGTCTCCGTGATCCGTTCCACCTGCATGCCAGGATTAGATTGGGGTTGTGATTGTCTTTTGGTGTCTTTTTCGTGAGAAGCTTCCAGGGAAAGAAATCTTTTTCTTAAACTCGTATCCCTTGAAGTTTTTGGTACTTTGGCTGGAAGCGTTAATGCTCCCTTTAAGCCTTGCCTCTATATTCGTTGGGATTATGTCTTTCTAAACGTCGGTACCGTGCTGTGGCCTTGAAATTTTATTTCCTCACCCTGTAGCCGCCTCCACCCCACTAGAGCTCCAGGTTGAGAAACTTAATAACTTAGTTATTGTTTGTGACTTGGCTTCGTTTCATTAACCCAGTTCCCTGATGTACTTAAGAGTCACATACAGTCACAACTTAGCCACAATTAGTTTCATCTTCACCAAAGGGAAATAAAATAGAAATTGCAACCAAGATTTTTGGCTAATAGATTTCACTCATCTTAGTGAAATGTTACTCAAAAGTAGTATCTAATTATCTGACTAAAACACTTTTCCCCGAAAAGCAATTACCTAAAAATATTTTGGCTCAAACTGCCAAAATTGTTTTATTTATTTCATTGGGGTGTTGGTGAATTTGTACAATTGTATCATCCAGTTTAATATGTGCTTTTCTAACTTTATTTTCTCCCTGTAGTAGCATAATGGCAGAAACTGCTTCTCCACTGAAGCACTTTGTGCTGGCTAAAAAGGCAATTACTGCAATCTTTGACCAGTTACTGGAGTTCGTTACTGAAGGATCACATTTTGTTGAAGGTTAGTTCCTCTTAAGTTCTTAAAATGATTATTGTTAAAAATATATAAAAGTGCCTTATTTTTCCAACTTTTAGTTATTGAACACATATCTAAGGCATTGTGCTATATGTGGAATAACATAAGGAATAAAACCCGTTGTGTCCCGCCCAAAGAGGAAGATTAAATTGCATTAATAACAACTAAGAAATAACTAAACATTTTCTATATTAATAACTTTCATATCACCAGTGGGCAGGTTTTAATCATGCTCATTTTAAAGATGAAGAAACCAAGGCACAGAAAAGTTAAGCAGCTTGCCCAAAATCACATAGCTAGTACGTGCCCAGATGAAAATTCAGGCAGTTCACATTTAGCCATTATACCCAATTTCAGACCCTACCTTATTATCTCATGAGGCTGAGTTGTGGTGGAAAACGGGCAAAAGGAGTTTTCTTTTTGTAACTGTTCAAACAGAGGTGGTGAGAAATGTCCTGTTAGGGAATACATCTTTGGAGATAACCGTTGAAATTTCTTCTGGTTCTTAAGATTCTGCGTCCCTCAACTATATGATGAAAAGGGAGGGATTCTATAAACTTCTCCAGTGACAATGGGGAAATGTTTGGTAGGTTGGTAGAATCAAACTTTTTTTTCATGTCTGTCCTAACCCTCCCTCACCTGATTTTGAGCTCTTTTAGGGCAGAGACCCTACCTTATTGTGTCTCTAGCACCGAGCACAATTCAGGTTTTGTTGTTGAATGAGGAAATGAATAAAACCAATGGTATAGAATCCATTTGTTTCCAGTTTGGGAAGAATTTAAGCTGGTGCAGTGACTTTGGGTGGCAAAGTCTCCCTCTGTCGCCTGGGCTAGAGTGCCGTGGCGTCAGCCTAGCTCACAGCAACCTCAAACTCCTGGGCTCAAAGAAGCCTCCTGCTTCAGCCTCCTGAATAGCTGGGACAACAGGCCCATGCTACCATGCCTGGCTAATTTTTTCTATTTTTAGTAGAGATGGAGTCTTACTCTTCCTTAGGCTGGTCTAGAATTCCTGAACGGTGACTTTTGAAAAATATTTTTCTCAAAATATTTTTGATAGGAAGTGAAAATAAAGTTAAATATAATATCTTTCGTGTATTGAGCCTGTTACAGATTGTGCATTATGCTAGGAGGTAGTGAAATGGCAATTTTAGAATCCGAATTCGATTTTACTGGTTCTAGAACCTCAGTAAAAGTGTTGCAAAAAAGAGACAAAGCAAATAAGGAAGAACATAGACGAGCAAAAATAAAATGAAAAAACAAATAAGTATAATGATACTTAAGCCAGGCTTATCTTTCTATTATTCACCAAATTGCACATATTTTTATTATTGTACTAGAAAAGTATGACAAGATAAAAAGCTTAAGTTTAATTAGATGTGCACTGGATAAGTTCTAAGTGGCAATGGTTTTCTCTTAATTAGGATCTTTCAAATAGACAAGTGAATCTTAGGAGTCTTAACCTTCAAAGAGGTGACAAGAATATAAATGTCAAGTTATCTTCTGGTCCTGAAATAGAAACAAAACTGAAAGATTTCTCTATTTTTCTTTTTTTCTTTATTTCTGACCCCACTGCATGATTTCTCTATTTTTCAAACCCAGGCTTTTGTAGCTACCTTCATCCATGGAAGAGACGTTAGAGCCAGGGTGGACAGTTAACCCTAAACCTGACTGGAGTGGGATACAATCTGTAATTCCTTTTCCTCTCTACCTTTTCAGTTAAATGAGCTGTTTTGTCCCAATGCAGTGGGAAGCAGACCAAAAGTGATAGGGTACCAAGGTCTTTCCTGTCTTAGAGACCTTGAACCATATCTTTTTTTTGTTTTTTTTTTTTTAAGAGATAGGGGTCTCACTATGTTTCTCAGGTTGGTCTCAAACTCCTGGGCTCAAGTAATCCTCCCACCTTAGCCTCCCAAAGTGATGGGATTACAGGCATGAGCCACCATGCCCGGCCCGCTTGAACCATGTCTTAATTTCTGAGGGGTTCCTATTCAAACTTCACTGTTTTCTTAATATGTGGATCCCCTTTCTCAGCTCAAGATCTGAAAGTCCAATCAGGGTAGAACAATAATAAGTGGGCTTTAGGTTCTAGTTTCTCTCATTAGAGAGTGCATTCTTGTGTCAGGTAGGTAATTTGTATTTTTGAAACTTAGATGAATAATAAGTACCCTTTTTGACAGGGCCCTTGACAATTTTTAATTTTATTGAAATTCTTTTGGACAGGATTCTTATGCCCCATTGCAATGGGGCATGTACCTTTTACCAGACATTCAGAAATTATGGGCATTTTTATTTTTCAAATAAAATCTTAGGTATTCATTGTATAATTCACTTAGTATTTGTTTATATCACTTTTCTAATGCCATTTCAATTTTGCAGCAACATACAGGAATCCAGAACTTGATCGAATAGCCACTGAGGGTGATCTGGTAGAAATACAGGGATATAAAAGCAAGCTTTCTGTCATTGGTGAGGTGTTATCTCGGAGACACATGAAGGTGGCATTTTTTGGCAGGTAATCCTTTATTATTCCTAAAGTTAGTTTCCAGAAATCAGCTTTGTGTCTGATGTTTCAGCAAGTTACATTTCTAACTTTTTCCCCACAGCAGTTTCTTACTGTGTTGAATGTTAATACTGTTGGCATGTAAACGAATTTGTTCATCTTAGCTCCTGGTATAAAATGAAACGTTGTGAAGGTCAATAATATTTTTACCTTTTAAGGATTCTCATCTCTAAGAATTGGCTCTTAGCCAGTTATAAGAATGAAAATACAGATAAATGATAAGCATAATTTGTGACATACCAGACAAAATGGTACTACCCTTGAAGTCCCAAAGGAAAGGGGCTCATGTTTACATGTTTGAGATAAGAACTGTTTTTGCATCTCCTGCTTTGATAAGGCTTATTAGTAGGCATTCTTTAGGACTGTAATAATTCAGATAAGATCTTCTTGGAAGAACTTTTACCCAGTACTGGCATCTCCACCATGAACTGACAACAACACTGGCCTTGAACCTCTGGAACCAGTGAACTCTGTTTCTAGCTGATTATATGTAAATATCTTTTTGCTAATGAAATCTCCTCATACCCTTCTCTCACCAAATGCACTGGTGGCTTGCCATTCCATACATTCAAGATTATAATCCTTATTTCTTATTCTTGAGTAAACTCACCATATTTAGAGGTAATTTTGTCTAGTGTTGTCTCATAGGTAGACAGTTATCAGGTATGTCTTCCAGAGGAATTCTAAACCCCGTAATTCCCAGAAAGGAGAGTAGGAAGCACCATTACATCAGTGTAACTGTCCAGAGTGATAGGGTGTCTCTGCCACTGCTTACAAAATCCTTTAACAATCATTTTGTTAACTACCTGTGCACCTGCACTCTATTAGACATTAGGGATACAAATACAACTGACTAGCCCCATACTTTGTTTAAATATCATGTGCTGTGTACCAAGAGGCACTGATTTACCACACTAACTTCATAGGCTTTCTAAGCTATTTTCCATCTTGAGGTTTTTGCACATGCAATTTCCTGTGCCTACAGTTCTTGCTTTGTTCTGTTTTTTTTTTGGATATCTGTTTGTTTTATGGATGTCTGGCTCCTCACTCTTCAGATCTCATCCTAAATGTTACTGCCACAAAAGCCTTCCCTGACCGCCTCTATCTAAAGTATTCCTTCTCAGTTATTCTCTACTAAAGCACCCTGTTTATGTCCTTTCAAACTTTTCATAGTGCTTTTTTTTATATATATTTTTAGTTGTCCGGATAATTTCTTTCTATTTTTAGTAGAGATGGGATCTCACTCTTGCTCAGGCTGGTCTCGAACTCCTGAGCTCAAACAATCCACCCGCCTCGGCCTCGCAGAGTGCTAGGATTACAGGCGTGAGCCACTGCACCACGCCATTATTGTCTGCTTCTTGACTTGATTGGATTCTCAGGGCCTTATGCAGCCTCTGTTATGAGGTTGCTCTATAAAAGAGGCCTTACTTTACAGTGAAGTAGGAAAGAAGAGGTCTTCTGGAAAGGTGGTGACTCAGCTATCCTACTTGAGAAGGAGAATAGGTAGGTATTAGCTTTGGATGTGAAAAAGGTCCAGAAGCCCATTTCTTGCAGAAAGCCACAAGTGGAAAGGGAGAGAAAGACCCATGGTGTGTTTGGAGAACTATAAATAGTTGAATTTGGGGCATTAGAGAACAGTGGCAAAAGAGAGGGTAGAGAAGAAAGCAGAAGCCAGATTGTGAAGGACCTTATGTATCATGGTAAGGAGTACTTCATTCTTTTATTTTGAAAAATAGTCATGACAGGATTGAGTGTGACAATTATAATGTTCTTTTTTTTTTTTTTGAGACAGAGTCTCACTCGGTTGCCTGGGCTAGAGTGCCGTGGTGTCAGTCTAGCTCACAGCAACCTCAAACTCCTGAGCTCAAGCAATCCTACTGCCTCAGCCTCCCAGGTAGCTGGGACTATAGGCACGCACCACCATGGTCAGCTAATGTTTTCTATTTTTTAGTTGTTTGGCCAATTTCTTTCTATTTTTAGTAGAGACGGGGTCTCACTCTTGCTCAGTCTGGTTTCGAACTCCTGAGCTCAAACAATCTGCCCGCCTCGGCCTCCCAGAGTGCTAGGATTACAGGCGTGAGCCACCGCGCCCAGCCAGGCTAGTAACTCTTGATAGCAAAGAAAATCTTCTGTTATGACCTGAATGAAGTATAAAATCTGCACCAAGTCGGTAGTATCATTGATTCATCAAAGTGATTTAATAATATATATATATTTTCCTTTTGAAGTATTGCATGAAGTTTTTCTGTGAAGTTGAAGGCTAATTCATGCTGCTGATCAGTTATGGTTCTCCTTGAAAGAGGCCATTGTTTGTACTTTGAAATGTTATCGGCGTCTAAGTCCTACAACTTTGATAACGCATTCTTTCACAATTTCTACATCATTGAATACCTTCCCTTTTTTCCTGAGTATATAAGCTACTTTATAAGTTGTTTCAGTGGCATTATTTCCAGGCCTTATTGTTGCTTGAAAGAATTGTCTTTGCTTTTGCTTTTCATCTTTTAATTTCTGCAGTACAGCCTTTCATGCCTCTCCCTCTAGTTTCAAATATTTGTGGTCCTTATGAGTGTTACAATGCTGTTGAGCATAGAATTTCTTTTTGCTGATATTGCAGTATCACAAAGCAAGTAAATCATCTTATCTTTAGCAGAGACAAGATAATATTCAATTCCCAGTCCTCACTAAAAAATCTGTTTTCTTCCTTTGGCGTTTTCTTGGTCTTCTTTGATATAATGGGCTGTTCAGCAGACAGAATTAAAAAATACTGTTGAGCTGTGCAGCTATTCACCAATTCCACTTCAAACAAACACAGTGCACCACTGTCAAAAGCTGATAACAGGCTAGCGTGCTTGACCCCCATAAACTCTCAACGACCAGCCTCATGCAGTAGTGGTGCCAGTCAGGTGGGGAAGGTTAGAACTAAATCATGAGTGTAGCAGCCATCAATTTAGCCCTTTCGGCTTACTAATGTGCTAATTTTGCCAGTCAGTCTGGGAGGAGTATTTTTTTGAAACTTAGTTTTATTCTTTGGTATTTTAAAAATAAAATAAAAACATTCATTTTAAAAATAAAATAAAAACATAAAAGATGAACACAAATGTATTAATAAAAATAAAAGGATCTGTTCTGTAAAATTTGGATTCAGTCAAAAGGCTGCACTTAAGGACATAGAAGGCTGCATGTGGCCTAAAGGCTGCAAGTTCCCCACCCCTGCCCTGTATATCTGGTCACAGAAGTGTGTACTGTGTCTGTGACAAGTGTGATAGTAGAGGAGAAAAAGTTTGCTTTTTTCCAATGTGGAGTTTTTGTTGTTTCTTTTAATGTTTTGGGAAGGCAGGGTGACTGAGTGTTCTCAAATTTTAGTAAGCATAAGAATCACCCTCAGAGCACCCCTAGAGAGTCTGACTCTGTAGGTTCACAGTGCACCTGAAGAACCTGCATCATTAATGGACTTCCCAGGTGATTCTGATATGGGGGGCAAACAACTCTTGAGGATCACTGCAGCAAGGCTTCATGCAGTGATTGGAAGGGTTAATTTTAAGTGAGGTCATAGGCATCCTTTTGTAGGTTGTGATAAAGTGACAATAGAAGCCAATGTTCAGATAATGAAGCTTTTGATGGTTCCCTGGGGAGGGAGTTGGGAATAATATCCATAATATAAGAAAAGTTCTCTCTTACTCTAGAGGAAAGAGGTAAAGCATATACCATAAAGACAGCATGATTTTTTGCAATAAAGCAAAAGGCTCCCAATGTCATTTGGGGTTTGAGCTGACTGATTAGAAAGAAAATCCTCGAAATGGGTATAAGGTGTTCCTTGGATTTCAAACCGTTAGAAGTATTCTGATTACTATGACTGTATAACAAATTACACAAAGCTTTGCAACTAAAAACAGCCATTTTATTATGCTCACTGATTCTGTGAGTCAAGAATTCAGACAGGGCACAGCAGGGATGTCTTGTGTTTACTCTATAATCTCTGGAGCCTCAGGAGAGCAGACATGAAAGTTGGCCCAACACCTAAGGGTTGGAATCATCTGAAATCTTCACTCACATGTCTGGTACTTGGGCTGGGATGACTCCAGAGATGAAGACTGTCAACTAGAGCACCTACCCAGACCAATCCATTTAGCTTGACTTCTTGCAACATCACAGACTCGGGGTGATTGGATTTAATGTGGCAAGGCTCCAAGTACATGTGTTTCAGTGAACAAAACAGAAGCTGTATTGCCTTATGACCTGGTCTTGGAAGCTACCCAGTGTGACTTCTGACGTGTAGTATTTGTTGAAGCAGTCACAAACCAGCCCAGATTTAAGGAAATGGGACATACTCCCATCTTGTGATGGGAGGAATGTCACAGAATTTTGAGCCATGGTTTCAAGAAAGCAAGCAAGAAAGAAAAGTTGAGGGTAGCTTTATGAGAAAGATGGGATTTGTTTTCCTGTGCTTTATTTTTTCTGAAATGTACTTTGCTAATATTTGTATAAGTCAAGTTGTCAACCTTTTCATAAAAAATGCAGCCTTAGGAAATTTTAAGAAAATTGGAATTTTAAAAAAGTTGACCTTAGACCAAGTGAAAGAACAAATTTTTAACTGTTTGGTTTTTCATGATTTTAAATGTTCTTCAGGACAAGCAGTGGGAAGAGCTCTGTTATCAATGCAATGTTGTGGGATAAAGTTCTCCCTAGTGGGATTGGCCATACAACTAATTGCTTCCTAAGTGTTGAAGGAACTGATGGAGATAAAGCCTATCTTATGACAGAAGGATCAGATGAAAAAAAGAGTGTGAAGGTATAATATTTAACCTTTAGCAACATAATGTACCTGAAAAATGTCCTTAACTTGTCATTTAAAAAACATTTTTTAAAGATGTCTACATAACTGGAGATGGAAAAACTGTTAATATTTCTATTCATAACTTTGAAAGCTGTCACTAATTTCGAATTCTTTAAAACTTTTTTGCTTCAGAGCTAAATTTAAAATAAAAGTAAATTAGGATTAAAAGTTTTTTAAACCTTCCAGTGAGAAGAATATTGAAGTGTATTGTTGCTATTTACGCTCAAATTTGTCTGTTTAAAAAAACATTAGAAATTGTCCTTGGAATCTGATACATGTCTGAGTTTTTAGAAACTGTTTTACCTCAGGAATATTTAGTAAGCATGTTCATGAATAAATGTTATTGCTTTATCAGAAAAGGGCCAGTGAGAATTCCATCCCTTTCGTAAATTTCTTGATTCAGTGCCACCAGACTCCTTCCGCCAAAAAAGAATAAAAAGAAAAAGAAATTAGGATGCAAGATGTTGACTTTGGACTGAAAGCAGTTGGTAAAGGCACTGTTTCTCATTATGGTCACTTTCACTTGAGTCTAAAGATGTCTCCCACAAACACAAAAGTTTAGTACTTGAAAGTCCAAGCCATTTTGGTTCTTGGTAAAGGTGAAGTCATGGGTGGTTCTTGTTATGAGCTTGCTGTTTGATCTAGTTCAGGTGACTCAGTCTCTGAGTGTATCTTAGAATGAGCATATCCTTAAAATTAGTTATGAGGAAACATGAGATGATGTTTATGAAAATACTTTTCAAACCTTTAACCCATACAAATAAAGGAATTGCTATTTTGTAATTAAGATTTTTACTAAATCAGAATTCAGACTACTTGTGGCTTTAGAGTCTCAAAGGAAAGGACTGTGGTATTTTAAAAGAAATCATCTCATTTTTCCTCATCTGTCCTTTCTACTTCCAGTCCTCTTCCCTCACACTCTTTAACTCCCTCCTCCCAGATTTAAATTTGTTTACCTCAAGTAGTGGCCTGCTTTAAAGTATAAATCAACTTTGAGTCTTTTTTTTTTTTTTTAATAGAGTCTCACTCTGTGCCCTGGGTAGAGTACAGTGGTGTCATCACAGCTTGCCACAAACTGAGTCTTGTGCTGTAATAATTTACTTAGTAAAGGAAACAACTGTAGGTAATACTTCCTTGAGCACTTGCTGTGTACCAGACACTATTCTAAACATTTCAAATAACTCAAATTTCAACTCTGTCAGAGAGGTGCTTTTATTAAGTGGGCTAAGCACCAAGATTTTATTACAGGTTTATAAATCTATCAAAAAGTTTGTGAAAGCAAGCAAAAAAAAAAAAAAAAACCTAAAGACTACCTAACATTGTCATGATGGAAATTCACTTCAGCCCTGATCAGGACTGTTGTGCCCACTTGAAAATAGATATTTCTCTTTAAAACTTGATACAAAATCACAAACAAACCATAGAGGTGTATGTGCTGATGCCCTTTCCTTGATTTATTTACCAATTTTGTCTTAAAACCTCTGTATTTATTGTATATTTAACACATACATGAAATGTATTAACACTAGTTTGATAAGTTAATGTACATCACAAGTCTTCTTGAGAAATAGGAAATTTGGGTGAATTTTAATAGAAGAAAAGGCAGTCATTGGTTTCAGGCAGCTTTGTGTGAATAAATCACTGCCTGCTGAGGGAAATGCTTTATTAAAAGTTGAATATGTATTGATATTCTCTTGTATTACCTCCACCTTATCTCTATGGGATTTTTAAATCTATTTAAGTTAAATATGCTTTAATAATGACATCTCTTCAATGATGTTTCCACGTTATTATTAATCAATACATACTCATTTCAGGAGAGTCAGAAAACACAAATAGTCAAAAAGAACAGAGAATCCAAAACTCACATACTTCACAAAACCAGTATCAATTTTAGAAGTTGGATGGGGTTCATTTGTTGGACATTTAGAATGTTTTCAACTCTGATTATTTTTGCTGGATGGTGTGAGTAAACTACGTTAAGAAACCCCTCTTTTCCCACTTGGTAATTTAAAAACTCAGGTTTCTCAAGATTGCTCAGATAGTTTTATTTTAAATTACTCGCAGTTCTACCTTTTGTACACGTCTTACAAAAATAAATGTACCAAATCATAGTTATTTTTAATTTTTATTGAATTTTATTACAAGCAGAATATATTTTTTCTTTCCCTCCTGCTTTAGACTGTTAATCAACTGGCCCATGCCCTTCATATGGACAAAGACTTGAAAGCTGGCTGTCTTGTACATGTGTTTTGGCCAAAGGCAAAATGTGCCCTCTTGAGAGATGACCTGGTTTTAGTAGACAGGTAAAATTATGTGCGGATTGTATTTTCTCTTGGTGGAGGCTTATTTAATGGTATAATGCTGCTTACTTTATTGTATGGTATATAACATTTTAAAATATTCAGTTGCTGTTTTGTTCTCATTAGCTAGATTGTTTAAGAATAGATAAGGTATTTGTTTTGTTTCATAATAGTTACATAAAAGTGCCAATTCATCAGTCTGATTCTATTATAAGAAATTTTAAGGATAGCCACTTTTTCTGGTTTCTTTAATTTCTTAATTTCTGGTTTCTTTAATTTCTTAATTTCTTAATTTTTAGTTTGGACAGTTTATATTGTTTTCGTTCAAGAATTGATAGATATATAAGCAAAATATGCAAAAAAGGAAAAGTAGAAACAAGAATTGATAGAATGCTTTTGGAATTTGTTCAAAATGGTCTTTTAAATTGTGGATTTATTATGTGTTTTTAAATCATCATATTGTACTGGTGCTTTTTAATAATGATTGAGCAATATCATTAGCCTAAAAAGGTATTTAAATGATTTTCAGAATTTTTATGTGCTCTTTTGTTTTCTTCAGTTAAAACTTCAGTGTTCTACGGAAACTATTCTGTCTTTGATGGTGGGTTTTCCTTTTAATTGGAAGAGTGTTTCAAGTAATCGATTGGAACAGATGAGCGAGAAGATGCTTGTGAAATCAAAATATTTTGTTTAAATATAGTATTAGCTAGTTTTGCTTTATTTCATGGCCAGACTGTATCTATGACCCAATCAGTCAAGACTGACAAATGGCAAATGCTTCACTGTAATTTTTATATTGGTGCTGTATTAAATTTATATCTACCAGCAGGTATTTTATTTTTTATTGTTTATAAACACTTAAATGTTCTGAGCTGTACAAGACAGAGCTGCTTGCACCCTCACTTTATTATAGCCTAGTTTTATTTTTCAGCCTTCCCAAATGTAAAAATTAAAGAGATTGAAATATTGACCATGTTATTTGCTTTGTCAAAAATCTTACTGGGTTAGAATTTTCCTAGGCTTCATGCAGATGACTGATAGAAATCTTGTCCTTTAGACTTCAAATGATACTAGGTCAGTAAATCTGAAATGTCAGATTTAGAATCAAAAGTTTGGTTTATTATATCTCAAACAAGAAGCACTACAATTATTCAAAGTATGCACCTAAGCGATCAACACAGCATTGCCATCTTAGCAGTAGCTTGTTTATGCCAGCAGCAAAGAAGCCTGGAGATCAAGTGGTGATGAGATGGCAAAACGTATTTTCCACAGCTTATTGAGAATTGAATTTTTTTTTTTTTTTTTGAGACAGAATCTCACTCTTTTTGCCCGGGCTAGAGTGCCATGGCGTCAGCCTAGCTTACAGCAACCTCAGACTTCTGGGCTCAAGTGATCCTTCTCCCTCAGCCTCCCTAGTAGCTGGGACTACACGCATGCGCCACCATGCCCGGCTAATTTTTTCCATATATTTTTAGTTGTCCAGCCAATTTCTTCCTATTTCTTTAGTAGAGATGGGGTCTCGCTCTTGCTCAGGCTGGTCTCGAACTCCTGAGTTCAAACAATCTGCCTGCCTCGGTCTCCCAGAGTGCTAGGATTACAGGCATGAGCCACTGTGCCCGGCCTGAATATTTTTTCTTGCAAGAAGTGGTCCAAAGCATGGAAGAAGTGGTAGTCAGTTGGTGCAAGGTCTGGTGAAGAAGGTGGATGACAGAGAGTTTCCAAGTCCAGCTGCTGTAGTTTGAACAGCGTTGCGTAACGTGGTTGAGTGTTGTCTTGCAAGAGGATTGGCCTGTCTCTGACCAATCTTGGCTGCTTAATCGCAAGCATCCTCATCATTTCATCGAATTGGTTGTAGTAGACATCCTCTATAATCGATTGACCAGGTTTCATGAAGCTGTAGTGGATAATACCAGGGCTGGACCAGCAAACAGAAACCATTAGCTGTTTTTGATGAATATTCGGTTTTGGACTATGTTTTGGCACTTCATCTTTATCCAACCATTGTGCCAAATGCTTGCAATTGTCAAAAAGAATCCATTTTTCATCATACATAATAGTGTGATGTAGAAATGGTTTGCCTTTATGTCCTGACAGCAAAGAAAGTCAAGCTTCAAGATGTTTTCTCTTCCGATGCTCGTTTAATTCATGCGGCACCCATCTCTCCAGCTTTTTTACCTTGCTGATTTGTTTCACATGGTCTGATATTGTTGGAATAGTAATGTCAAACCTTGCTGCTAATTCACACCTAGGTTGGGATGGATTCACTTCTACTACATCTTTTAGCTCATCATTATCCACCTTGGTGTCAGGTCGCACACATGGCTCATTTTCAAGATTAAAATCACCAGAATGGAACTTCTCAAACCAATGACATACTATGTGTTCATTAGCCACATCCTTCCCAAACACTTCGCTGATATTTAGAGCTGTCTATGCTGCATTGGTTCCATGATGGAACTTATACTCAAAAATAACATGAATTTTTAACTTATCCATGGCTTCACAAAAATTGCTATAAAAAATTTGAAAGATGATCACAAGCCAAACTGTGCATTTGAAAGGAAGAGGATGTATCTTCACAGTAAAAACAAACAAAAAAACCAAGAAGTGTCAAAGTGAAATGTCAGAAATATCAACTGTAAAATTTAGTACTTAAGAAATTTGATACTTAATAACCTAGTATATAAAAGTTTTTTTAAAATTTATTTTGTAACTCAACTTATTTTTTTAAAAAAGTAATGTTATTTATTTATTTATGCCTAGCAGATTACACTATAGAAATAATACAATTTTTATTTCACTCTTAGTCCAGGCACAGATGTCACTACAGAGCTGGATAGCTGGATTGATAAGTTTTGCTTAGATGCTGATGTCTTCGTTTTGGTTGCAAACTCTGAATCAACACTAATGAACACGGTAGGGTTTAATCATATACTGTTTTGGGGTGGTAGGAACTGAAATGGTATTTGTTTTAATTCTGAAAAGTGAGGGAAATCCAAATCATGGATTAGAAAGAACTTCTAAAGCCAGAGGTGAATGAAGGGATTTGGTTGTTTGTTTCTTTGTTTTCAAGACAGTCTTGCTCTCTTGTCCAGGCTAGAGTGCCATGGGGTCAGCCTAGCTCACAGCAATCTCAAACTCCTGAGTTCAAGTGATCCTTCTGCCTCAGCCTCCCAAGTAGTTGGGACTACAGACATGCACCACAGACCTGGCTGATTTTTTCTATTTTTAGTAGAGACGCGGTCTCACTCTTGCTCAGGCTGGTCTTGAACTCCTGACCTCAAGTAATCCTTCCATTTCGGCCTCCCAGATGCTAGGATTATAGGCGTGAGCCACCACGCCCAGCCAAAGCTTTTCATATTTTCAGTTTTGTGAACCTTTTCCAGCTTTACCCTGATACACTAGGTTTCAGCTTACTTGTGTACAATTTAATCTACTGTTAAACTCAGAAGATTATTTATGATGTTTTATGGATGTCTAGAGCCTGGCTCATCCCAGCTAAACTTTGCAGAGTTTAGATATCTTATATCCAACACTATAACATGATTTTAAAAAATTGTTATTCATTAAAAGCGTATAAATGACTGAGTACCATTATAACCTAGATGTTACCAGCAAGATTGTATTATTCATGTTTGGGTGGCCCAGTCAATATCAAGTAGACCAACCTGTTAAAACAACACTGACAGTTGTTTACAACCTCGTGATATAAAAAAATGAATAGCTGGGCACCTATAATCCCAGGTACTTGGGAGCTGAGGTAAGAGGATTGCTTGAGCCCAGGAGTTCAAGGCTGCAGTACGCAATGATCATGCCACTGTACTCCAGCCTGGGTGCAGAGTGAGGCTTCATCTGTTAAAATAAAAAAGAAAAAAAGGATAAATGCTTAAAGTCTTTGTTAGAATACCTCCGCTATTTGAGTGTTGGATAGACAAACTTCCTTTAAAAAAAAATATGTGTGTGTGTGTGTGTGTGTGTGTGTGTGTGTGTGTGTGTATAATAAAAACATAGGGCCAGGCGCAGTGGCACAGATCCTAGCACTTTGGGAGTCCAAGGCAGGAAGATAACTTGAGGTCAGACAGGAGTTCAAAACAAGCCCAAGCAGCAGTGAGACCCCCTTTTTACAAAAAAAAGAAAGAAAAATTACCTGGGTGTGGTGGCCACACCTGTAATCTAGGCTACCAGGGAGGCTAAGGATCCCAGGAGCTTGAGGTTGCAGTAAGCTATGATGACGCCACTGCACTCTAGCAGGGACAACAGAGTGAGACTCTGTCTCCAGAAAGAAAAATTTATATATATATGTATATTTATATTATATATACACACACACACACACATATATTTAGAGAGAGAGAGACACACACACAGAGACAGGGTCTTGATCTTGCTGTTGCCCAGGCAGTGGCATTCAGTGGGGTGATCAATAGCACTCTTACCTCAGTGTCCTGGGGTCAATGTCCTCCTCAACCTCCTGAGTAGCTAGGACTACAGGCATGTACCACCATGCCTGGCTAATTTTTTAAAAATTTTTTGTAGACATGGGGTCTCACTGTGTTGTCCGGGCTTGTCTTGAACTCTTGGCCTCAAGCAGTCCTCCTGCCATGGCCTCACAAAGTGCTGAGATTACTGGCGTGAGCCACTGTGCCCAGCCAGATAGACAAACTTCTGATATACATTATGATTTTGGTGTTTTTTGCGTATGCTCTTCTTTGCCCACAGTTCATCCATCTCTGAACTTTTTATCTTTCCAAAAGCCCTTACCAGTTCTTTGAAGCCCATCTTTGTCACCACTTCCTTCTTTATCAAGCTTTTTCTAATTTCAACTAAATGTGATGTCTCTTTCCTTTGAGTAATCATAACATTTATTTATAGTGTTTATGACATATACTTTTCTCTGTTGTTTATTATCACGAGTTATACAAGTGTTTTACATTATTATTAATTTACCTAGCCTAACTCTTAAAAAAAATTTGTGGTAGCTTATTGAGAACATAGGCTATTATATCCAGTAGTTCTATACATAGGAGAGACTGATAGATATTTGTTAAATTGAATTTCAAAAGACTTATGGCAGGAGCAGGAAAATCTTCAGTTTTGCCTTCCATATATGTTAATTTTCTCATCTTTGAAAAGTTTAATGCGTGTAAAGTTCATTGGGATCCTTTATCAATGGGTGTTAATCACTATAGTCTAAGTGGTTCAGATTTACAAAATTTTCAATTATAAATGTAAATATAAAATATCTTTTTTTAGATTTCATTTTTTAAAGAAAATATCTTTTAAAAATGAACATACTGTGGGGTTTTTGATGTTTTTCAGGAAAAACATTTTTTTCACAAGGTAAATGAGCGACTTTCCAAGCCCAATATTTTCATTCTGAATAATCGTTGGGATGCCTCTGCATCGGAGCCTGAATATATGGAAGATGTAAGTTATTTTTTTCCTTAAGTTTTGAAATACAGTGGTGTACATTGTCATCTGAGAAGACAATATAGCATATAGAATAGAACATTATAAGTAGCTATTCTCTTACTTGGGAAAAAAATATAGTTAGAGAACACCTGAAAGTAGTATGTAATAGAGAACAAAGTATTAAGCTACTTTGAGGGAATTTGTATTATTTTATAGTACTTTTAGTACTATCTAATCATTTCAGAGCTTGAAACATCTTTTTTTTTTTTTTTTTTTTTGAGACAGAGTCTCACTCTGTTGCCCTGGCTAGAGTGAGTGCCGTGGCGTCAGCCTAGCTCACAGCAACCTCAAACTCCTGGGCTCAAGTGATCCTACTGCCTCAGCCTCCCGAGTAGCTGGGACTACAGGCATGCGCCACCATGCCCGGCTAATTTTTTCTGTATATTTTTAGTTGGCCGATTAATTTCTTTCTGATTTTTTTAGTAGAGGCGGGGTCTCGCTCTTGCTCAGGCTGGTTTCGAACTCCTGAGCTCAAACAATCCGCCCGCCTTGGCCTCCCAGAGAGCTAGGATTACAGGCATGAGCCACCGCGCCCGGCCTGTTTGTTTATTTTCTTTCCCATTTCTTTCATGAGCGAACTGATGCTCTTCACTCTTATTAGTTATTCCATCCATGGGGAAAATATGTAGGGAGAGGATCTATTGTTCTATTTCCTTATCTTTCCTTCTTTATTGACTTTTTCTTTATATATTTTTTATGGATATTTATCATTGATTTCTTCTACCAGATTATTTATTATTTATTATACACTTATACCTCTTTCATATTGGTTTATGATACACCTTTGCCTTCCTAGAATATCTCCATGAAGAGGTGGGAATGAGAAGAATAAAAGATGTGTTAAAGCCATTGGTTCCCAAACCTGGCTGATCATCAGAATCACATGAGGTGCTTTAGAGAACTGCTGCAGGTTCCTAACCTATCCCAGAGACTGATCCAGTGGGGCTGGGGTTGGCCTAG